TTTTTGGTGAAGTACATATTGCTATATACAGTTAATGATTTAAACTATATAATCCTACTTTATATGTCTATCCTAACCCTTATATGGATTTATCTTGTATTTACACCAACTAAACCGGTTTGTATTCCTTCAATCTTTACTTCAAACTATTTTTTAAGGGGCCCCAACCCTCTATTTTTCATCCTTTTCGAATTGAACACTATTCTCGGGATTTGCAAGTAGTTCTTCCTAATCTGGTTAGTCTGGAGGTCTTGATGTTTGTACAACTTCTATATCAGAGTCTATCATAGAGGCTTATCTTGTATTTGCGCCGACATGCATCGGTTTGCATTCCTTCATCCGGGTCTTCCCCAAATAAACGCTCTACCGTAGATCTTGTTACACCGCAGTACTTCCAGGAGCAGTACCCTGGTCTGTGCCCTTTCAGTTACAGCATATGATGCCAATACAGATTAAGTTGACATATCCAGAAGGGATATACAAGGAGTAATTTTCAAATTTTTGTCACCGGTAGGATTTGAACCCTAGAGCTTGCTACTTGGGGGGTGACAACTCTACCACTTCGCTATGTCGCCACACCCTCCCATACATGTTACTTTTTAAACATGACAAGCATATATATTTATATTATTTATTTTATTTATATTTTCTTATATACTTTATTTACTATTATTCTTTTGTACTGTCCCAATGTTCTTCTGCACTGTCCCAATGTTCTTTTTAATGTCAATATTCTTCCAACGTAACTCTATGTACAACATACCTAGAATATTGACCTTTATCGAACCGATATTGCTCATGACAAGTATAGAGCCTAAATGCCTCTTTAAAAAACTTATTATACCAATCCACTATAATTTTTTAATACTAGCCTTAACAATACATAACATTAGAACAGATATTAAAAATAGAGATATTTCATATAATTTAAAAATGTTCTTGACAGATAATAATTATACAGACTAATGCAGATAAAAAGATGAGAAGCGGTTACTCATATTAAATACTTAGATCAATTAGACCAATAAATAATCGCTAAACTTAGAGACTAAGAATGCTCTCAATGTGACTAACTAGCTACCAAGTTCGTGTATAAGTACTACAATTATTTAAATGTAATTTTATTGAAGATTCATATCATGAAATGTGGATTATTAATTTTAGCCAATCAAACTTTTTTTCATTACAATAATGAATCTACTTAAACTAATTTCTATCAATTAAAATTGAGCTCCAACCTATTAATTTATGTGCTTGAGAGAACCTTAAATCAATATTAATAAAAATCTAAACTAAAAATTAATTAATACATTGATTAATAATATTTAATTAATGGTTTGGATTTACCTCTTTGTACTAAATTAAGTACACTTTTAAAAATTAATATAAAATTAAAAAAAATATATAAAAAAATATTTTTATATAAAAAAGACTTGTTATAAAGTATAGTTTAGTTTTATATTATTTATTTTAATATTATTACTAAAAAATTTTTTTTATATATAGAGTTTTTAGTGTTTTGTTGCGTACTAAATCTAGTACATTTTTCACCGAGATTTTTAATAGTAATTTTTATATGTTTCTGCACGGCAAAAAATTCTCTTAAGAGAATTTTATTCCCTGTACAAAAATATTTTTAGCATTTTAAAAAACGAAGTTAAACTTATAAGCTTTTAGCTACAGCATCTCCAATACTTATAAAATTTTTAAAAAATATTAAAATATATAGTTTTTTTAAAAAATTAATAGATAATCAAGTTTAAAGATGTACTAAATCTAGTATGGATAAATCCAAGCCATTAATTAAATAAGAAAAGTCCTGAAGATACTTAATTGAAATGTCATGTGAAAACTCAACATTATATGATGAAGAGTTTTATAGACCAATTTTACCCTGTTAAAATTTTTTAGAGCTATTAACACTTGCATAGCTTTTTAAAGTTTATATTGCTCTAAAATGATTATTACTATAGCTATGTAATAAAATTTAATACAATACTGTATTGGTATTATCTACTATAGCTTGAGCCACAAGTTATGATACAAGTTTTGGCTTCAATAACTATGGCTTAATCTGGAGCTATGACTTTAAAAAGCCATTTGTTGCAGCTGATGCTGAATCATAGTTAAAAGCTGCAGCTAATTTGCTTTGATCGGCTCTATTATGCAGTTAAAACTAGCTTTGGATAAGCCATTAGCCTCTGAAGGCTATCTGAAAGACAGTTGGCAACAATTCATATTTGGTTAGTTCAATTTCAAAAGACAAAAAAAATATACTTTTTTATAATGATATATAATTATCATTCACTTTAATTGAGACCAAACCTTGTTAAAACAATAAAATATACAGGTTGAATATTCGTAATGGTTAAATGAATTTTATACTATATATATAATGCATTGTATAATCAATTATAAGATTTTGCAGACATGTATCACTAAAAATGTCTATAAACTATACACTTATAATATTTTATATCACTCTGTTTATGGTAAATATATCAGTAACTAAAGCTCTTGATTTTTAAGATAGATACTTTTTTGCAGAGAGTGTATATTTTGGATTAACAAAATAATAATAAAAGCAACCCAATATTTAACTACAGTGAGAGAGAGAAAAAAATTTTTTTTAGACCATACAAAGTAAATTTTTTGTTTAACATTACATAAAATCTGAAACTTGGGTTGGTTGGTCAAGGTTTTTTTTTTTTTTTTTTTTTTAAACCAAAAAAAACTAAATTAATTGACTCATAACTCATGTTCATATCCAAATTATGAATTTCTGTAGACCAGAATTTTTAAGGCTTTCCTGAAAAGGCATTATAAACCTACAGTTTAAATGAAATTTTAAAACTGAGGCAGTAAAATTAGCAATATAGCATCTATTGATCTGCATAAAGAAAATTTTTGTAGCTTTACAAATTAGTACATAGAATTCTACTAAAATAAGAGGAACTGACTTAAACATTAAATATGAAGATTTTAATTATGTATCATCGATATATTTGTTCATTTATGTCGAGTTGCACATAGTAGTAATAGCAGGGATATGAAGAACAAGGGTAAATAGGAATAGGAAGGATTAACACAGTAAATAGTTGTGTAATGTTAGGGTATAATATGTTGGGATAGTGTAATTAAAAAGTTTATTATAGCAAACTATAATGTAAATACACATAAAATTTTATAATAAAAAAGTCTATTATAACAGACTATGATGTAAGTGTATATCAAATTGAATAAATAAGGAATTTGATCCTAAAGAACTTCTACTTTGGATTTTTCTTGAAAATAAACCACTATCTAATAAACAGTGTTATGCTACTGTTGTGAATTGGTAAAGGGATATTTGAAGGAGAAGGATGTAATGAAGAAGAAGAAGTATAAAACAAATAAATAAATATTCAAACCACATAGCAGAATTGTGTGTATAACAATAAGGCTATATATAGTCAGACCTCTCTAAATCAACATTGTCGGGACCAGCTCTAGCACATGCATTTAGAGAGGTATTGCATTTAGAGAGGTAAAAATCTATAGATATAATATTAGTTGGACCCAAAAGAAGACATGTATTTAGAGAGGTGCTGCATTTAGGGAGGGTGCATTTAGGGGGTCTGACTGTACATTTCTTAACTCTTACAACAATTTAGATAAAAACTTGTTTATGACTAGTAATTACAATACAACTTCTGAAATGGCATTTAATTTAATTTGTACTTATCTTATCTGGTTAGGATTAACTAAGAGGTTATACTTGTTATAAAAACCCAGTTTCTTAATTTTCTATCTAGTTATTTATATATAGTATTGCACAAATTCATACAAGTATACATTTAAATGGTGCAAGTATAAATCTAATCATATAGGAATATTTAAACTTTAATTACTTACAAAATTCAAAATGCCTGTTGTTTCTGTATATATTAAGGCAAAAAGTGTAAAATTAAACTGGATTGGTGCTCGTGTATCTAAAAATATTATAGTAAGACAGTTTTATGAAGATTTTATTGCAGGAAGCATTGTTCCTGAGATGCAGTTGAATTATAAAGATCGTCTACAACCAGTTAAAGTAGAGTTTTTATTTAACACAACTAGGCCTTTTAATATTGTTAGTATGGAATGTAATATGATTGAAGCAATTAAAGCTTGGAGAAACAGAGTGCAGTATTATCAAACAGATAGTTTGATGTTACCACCTTCTGAAATGTCAATTAATGTTTTTGAACAAATGATAAACAATGCTACCAACTTTAATTATCTACCAATATTTACTATCTCAGAATATTTAAATGCACTAGAGAAATTAAGATATGATATTGTTGAATAGATTCGTGAAAATAATGGTGGATAGAGCAAAGATATTGCTATAACAACCGGAAAAGAATTTGTTAAAGACTTAGCAGCTGCATTATGGTATGCAGATAAATGTAATTCAGGAAAGTTGAAAATTCAAGGTTTTGCTATTCTTATTAAAATAGAACAGTTTACCAGATGCTATAATATAAGTCGCTTAAAAAAAAAGAGAAAACAATTTGATAAAACTACACTTGCATATCATTCAAATATTTTATTCAAATATACAAGATTTGCATGGATTAGAAGACCTGCATTTCATTTGCTTGTTAATTCATTAAAGCAATTAGCTACAAATTTGTCTCAATATCAAGAATTTTTACAAAAACAGCTAATAACTGTAATTTAAAATCATTTTTTCTTTGAACCAGTTAAAAAAAAACAATAGTTTTTTTACTATTTTATAGCCCAATTTTGTTAGAAAATTTTACATTATTGATCGTTATCAAACTTTAGTTGATTTTCTTAAGCAAAGTAACTTTTGGAAAACAATAAACATCAAATCATTTCTTCCAAATGAGCCTGTGTAAGTTTATTAGCAATATTGTAAATTGTTTTTACCAATTGTTTTTAACTAAGTTTATTAATAGGCCAAAATATTGATATATTAAAGAATTAAATAATGGGCTTCTTTTTAAAGTAGCACAATATATACATGATAGTACACATAGTTCTTCAGTAATATACTTATAGCGTATACCTGTAAATGCATCTAATTTAGAAATAATATTGCAGAATTTTGAAATTGCAAAAATATTAGAAAAAGATATATGTATTTATCATACAAAAGCAATACGCAAACTTTGGCGATCTAAATGTGAAATGTTATTAGGCACAGTTAAACCAATGGCATTATATTTGTTATATCATAACTTAACTGGTGATTTGGCTGTAGCTGAAAATCAAAATGAAAAAGAAGTATATAAAAGAATTAAATTAGCTTTGCAAATTGGAGATCCAAAAATTATTACTGATTTACGAGAACACAATCTTGGTGTACCAACATGTTATGAAGCATTTTGAAAAGTTGTACAAAATTTTTTTGCTAGTACTGCAGATTCATTACTTGCTGTTGATGATCATAGACACAGTTCAGTAATTCATTTAGCAAGAGCAATTTCTGTTAATAATTTTGTACAACAAGTTGTTACACTATGTCCTTCTGAAATATTAATTCCTTGTAATCAGTGGGTTCGATTACAATTTTGGCTAAATTCTCCTTATAATTTAAATGCACTACAATATACTGGTCAATTAAATATTAAATTTATAATTCAAGCTCGACAATTTCATATAAATCATCCTGATACACATTATGCTTCAGCACTTTTTCGATATCAAAAAGAATTAGCAGTAAAATTTTGTGAAT